TAAGTTAGAGAAATGCAAATAGAATATTATCTTATAATACATATCAATCATTCTTATTTGTCAAAAAAGAGAAAAGAAAAGTATTTACCACTTCTGCAAGAAGAGGTAGCATATTCAACCAATTGCAAACCACATCTGGGTAGAGATTTTAAACAGAAACTGACTATTACTTGGAATAATATGCACTTGCTGAAAGCTAATTAGTGCTTCTCTTTGATTTCAGATTACAGGAGTACAATAGGGAAACTATAATAACTCGTTCTGTCAGAGCACCCTTTTGGGAGTAGCCCAAAGAGAGGAACAAATTCTATGGCACTTATTCTCCAAATATTAAGGTAGATGCAGGATTTCAGTATCTGGCACTTAAGACTGCATCCAGAATGTGTGACAGAGCAAATACAGAGAAACTGAGCTAAGTGTGAAGCTTTGAGGGTAACTGGCAGTCGAAGTTACAGGTAAGGCTCAGTATACAGAATGGATTTGTTTTCACACCACGATTTTTTTTTCAATTCTACTTCTTGTGCCACTTACTAATGACTCCCAATCTATTAAACCTTAAATAGATATAATCCTCCCCTTATCTATTGAGTGAAGCCTCCTGAATTTAATTCATATTGATTTCAGCTTCACAGTCAGAATGAAAAGTATGATGAGAAAATTACAAAGATGCACTTACATTCCTCAATGTCCTGGAGTTAACTCTGCGATGTAACACCTGCATTACAAGGTTTTTACTTTTACTGTAACATTGATGGTGATAGTTGGCTAAGTATATTTTCCTGTTTAATAAAAAAAGTGATGCCATTCCATGGAGCACAATGGAAAGTGATACACAAATGAACCTTACTTCTAAATATAGTTTTGTGGGACAAATATGTACATGCATGGAAGGGTGCTGAAGTTCATTGTTCCTGTTTTCATTTCTTCCTTGTTTTAGTAGTTTTGTTCTGTCCTGATCCATTAGTACATAGCCCCAGTAAAAAGTTATTGAGTTCCTTGTCCTCTGTTTAATTTTGACCACTCCAACAAGACAAAAGGATAATTAAATAAATCATCATTGTTAATGTATCACTAAGTTTATATCTGTATCTACTTATATGTTATCTATGTATCTGGATATACAGTTATTGATATTATATTACTACATATGAGGGTACTTCAAAAACTTTGTGGAAATATGGAATTAAAAAATAAACTTATCTTGGTGCAAAATTTGAAGCCTATGGTTAGTTTCACATATTACAAATTTTCCAAGAACTCACTGAAGATCCTTTGTATGCATAGATCTCAAAATTTTTTGCACCAACATAAACCTTTTAATTCTATTTTACACAAATATTTTATTTTTATTTCACAATAAGTACATATTTTTGTGCTACAGTGTGACATTGCAATACAAGTATAAAATGTGTGCTGATTCAGTCAGGGTAAATCAAAGTTTCTCATTCACTGACAATATTTTATGTCTGGAAGCTTGGCGCTCTTTTCTTCTATTTGTTTAATAAACATACATTGGGTTATTATGACCCATAGTCACCTCATTATGCTGTGTAACATGAGGAACTTATTCTTTCAATCTAACTCTCATGTTATTCAAACTCTCTCTATCCCCCTTCAACACCCCCCCCCAAGCCTCTAGTAAATGCTGTTCCATTTTTAAGTTGAGATTTTAAGCAATCCATATATGAGGAAGAACATGTGGTATGTACTTTTCTTTGTCTGACTTATTCATTAACATCATGTCCTCCAGATTCATCCATTTTTCCACAAATGATAGAATTTCTTTCCTTTTTAAGGCTAATGCTTCACTGTGTATATATACCACATTTCTTTATCCATTCATCTATTGATGGACACCTTGGTGGTTTCACATCTTGGTTATTTTGGATAGAGAGGAGGGGGAGGGGAGGGGAGGAGAAGGGAGAGGAGGAGAGACAGAGATAAAGAGAGGGGGAGAACTCTACAAGCCATGTATCCTGGGATGGTGGCAGGAACCCAATTACTGGAGCCATCGCTGTTACTGCCCAGGAGCCAGAACCAGGAATTGAGCACAGGTACTTTAATCTGGGGTATGGGCATCCTAAGTGATGTCCTAACTGATAGGCTACATGTCCACCCAGCCACAGCTCTTCTGAGTTACCCTCATACATGATGCGACAATACAATGAAGGGAGTTGAAGTGTTATAATATGCTGGTCTAAGAAGAACGTAGTGCAACAAGTCAGCCCACAGCATTTCAGTAAAATGGAATTTACACTGAATACCTTCTCTGCATATTGGATTTACAGTAATTACCTAAGTCGATGTATATTTGCTGTTGCACAGACAATAACCAACTGACCAGAAAGGAATGTGATATGAGACCATGTAAGTAAATTATTCATTGTAATTAATAAGCAATTTCAAGCTCTAAATTTGATAGAATTAATATTAATGAGATAAATCAGAGTATTCCAATCAATTATTATATGTATTTGATGAGGTAACTTAATATTGTCCTTCAAAGAGTTTGGCAATATTTTCATATTTTCAATTCATTCTAATATTTCCTGTTGGACACACACAACATTGTTTATGAGGTGTGTGTAGTCTAAATGTTATTACTCCCTTGTGAGAAGCATGTGACTTATACTACCAAATGAGAGCAACAGTGTTTTATTTTCTGTATTTACAGATTAACATGTTTGACAAAATCCACAGTTATCATTATACAGCTTTTCAACATCTTCCCAAACTATTCATATTAACATCTCACCTTTTTTTTTTCCACTGGAAATTGTGACGGTTTTCATTTTCCCAATTAAATATAGTCTTAGTTTTCCTCAAACAAATATCAATTTTAAATGTATATGATTATGTTCAATTAGACATAACCAAATATGGGTAGCCAATTCTCTAATTCTAATCATAGGAGTAGGTATTATTAATTTTATAAGATCATGGCTCAAGCAACTTGGGTACATGGTCACTGGCATTTGTGGAGAGAAGCAAAAGTAGGAGAAGCTCATATATTGCTCTCTCACATTAAAAAATTGAAAAACAATATTAATTTATGAGAAAGAGGGAGTGTGCACATCCACTGATCCACTCTCCAAATGTCTCCAAAAGCTAGAGCTGGGTGAAAACTGAAGGGGGGGGGTGTACATCATTGTGGCATAGTGGGTAAAGCCGCCGCCTCCAGTGCCAGCACCCCATATGTGTGCCCAGTTGAGTCCCCGGCTGCTCCCACTCCGGGTCCCAGCCTCTCTCTGCTATGGCCTGGGAAGCAGTATGGCCCAAACCCTTGGGCCCTTCCACCTGCATGAGAGACCTGGAAGAAGCTCCTGGCTCCTGGCTTCAGACTGGCACAGCTCTGGCCATTGCAGCCAACTGGGGAGTGAACCAGCAGATGGAAGATTCTCTCTCTCTGTCTCTCTCTCTACCTCTCCTTCTCCCTGGTGTGTAACTCTGACTTTCAAATAAATAAATAAATAAATAAAATCCTTAAAAAAAAAACGAGTGGGAAGCAATCCAAGTTTCCCACATGGATGGCTGGAAGCCAACTACTTGAGCTAACGCCTCTGTCTCCCGTAGTCTGCAGGAAGTGGGATTCAGGAGCCAGAGCCAAGGCTGATCTCAGGTACTCTGATACAGGATGCTGATCTCCTAACTGGCATCTTAACCACCAGGCCAGACACCTGACCCTCACCATTCTTTCTGATTCTTGAAATTGTCAAATAAGTAACTCTTGCTTTTCTCAGTCCTCTAATCCTTACTCTAGTAAATATCTTATCATACGAATAAATAACACAAAAAGCTAACCGCTATCTTTGAAATCAGCCAATCTGTTAATAGAAAATATAAATATAAGTGGCCCTTTACAGAATAAACCTAAATTGCCTTCAGTAAGTGACTAAAATTGTTTCACTGTTTTTCCTTGCAGCTTATATCTTCAACCATTAATTGTCATCAATCAAATTCCATTACCATAAGACTGAAACACTGGAAAGGAAATACTGCTGCTGTAAGATCCTCACGTGACTTCAGTTTGCTTGTAAGAGAGGTTGTTTTCTTTGTTTAAACACCTAGCATTATTATTGTGTGCAACAGCTAGAGAATTAAAGGAAAAAAGCATTCTGAATGCTCAGCTATGCTCAAGGTCACAATTGCTCACTCCTGACCATATTGGACACCTATCACATTCCATCCTGTGGTGCTCAATTCCTTTTGTTGGACGCTAAGTTGCTTTCAGGTATGTATGCTTCAGTCTTATTCTTAGCTTCTGGCTTCCCCCAGTGTGGTTCAGCTCTTAGTTATTTGCTTCTAACTGAATATTTTATTTGAAGGATAAGGAAATTCATTTTAAATCAGAAGGGAAGGAATAGGAAGACAACTATTGATGGTGAGGCTTCTGCTGATGTTGAACTCATCCTTCTACCTATTAATTTATCCACCTGCCAAGCCAACTCAATACTCGTTATTCGCCCATTTTTTGTTAGGAAATACACAGAAGCAAAGAAAGTGTTTACACTTGACCTCGTCTACCCTACAATCTCTTCTCCATATGCTATCTCTGTCAAGGCTTTGGCTAAACCTTAAAACCTTAGTGATTAGGTCTATGCAGCAGGTTATTGCGGAGTCAGAAGTCAGCCTTCTCAACTGATACTTAATCTGATTAAGGAAAAACCATGCTAAGAAAGAAACCCCTTTTAAAACACAGCATGAAACAGACCTCAGCATTAGCTTTTAGCTTGTGATAATGCGCTTTGTATCATGTTTTAGTCAAAGTCTTGTGCCAAATTGGGTCCTCGGCCTTCACAGTAATGTTCAGAATAATTTTTTTTTATCCTTGATGTATGAAATGATAGCTTTTAAAAAGCCACTGTAAATTGCCAAGCTCCCACTGTGGCCGATGACAGCTGACAAATGGAAATGGAGGAAAATGCAGCAGTGTAAATACACAGTGATTTGCATGACTCCTGGTGCACCTGAAGCAACTTCATTATTTTAAGGTTACTTGCCTTGCAAACTGTAGATTTCCCCAACACTGTTCTGACGAGTGATGTGATGCCAGTACGCACTACGAGGAAGAGAGATCGACTTGGATAACGTCATGGGCTCAGTCAGGCTTGTCTGAAGCTAAAAAAAAAGGAAAACATATCTTAGGCTTTATTTAAAATATGAAACTGACATCTGTCCTTTTAAATGTTGAGGGTTTAATCTGGGTGACACATAATAGAATGCGTTTTAGATACCTGCAGAGTTTCCTGTTTAAAGGATAACTTTTTTTAAAAGTAAAAATAATTTTCCGGGGCTGGCACTGTGGCATAGGAGGCTAAGCCTCTGCTAGCAACCCATATGGGTTCCAGTTCAAGTCCCAGATGCTCCTCTTCCTATCCAGCTCTCTGCTATGGCCTGGGAAAGCAGTAGAAGATGGACCAAGTGCTTGGGCCCTTGCACACATGTGGGTGGGAGACCCAGAAGCTTCTGGTTTCTGGCTTCGGATCATCCCAGCTCCAGTGGTTGAGGCCATCTGGGGCGTGAATCAGCGATGGAAGACCTTTCTTTCTGTCTCTCCCTCTCTGTAACTCTGCCTCTCAAATAAATAAATATAAATCTTTTTTATTTAATGAATGTAAATTTACAAAGTACAACTTTTGCATTGTTGTGGCTTTTCCCCCCATAACCTCCCTCCCACCCACAGCCATCCCATCTCCCACTGCCTCTCCCATGCCACTCCTCATCAAGATTCATTTTCAATTATCTTTATATACAGAAGATCAACTTAGTATATACTGAGCAAAGATTTCAACAGACTGCACCCACACAACCGCACAAGACATAGAGTACTGTTCGACTAGTAGTTTTACTGTTAATTCTCATAGATAAATATTTGGAATCAGTTTAATCTAACTTATTAAAAAGGGAACATTAAGTTGGGAATTGATAATTTCTTTTTTTTTTTTTTTACAGAAGATGACTTTATGTTTCTGTGTGGGAGCAAACTGTTGAAATCCTTACTTAATGTATACTAAGCTGATCTTCTGTATATTAAGATAATCGAAAATGAATCTTGATGTGAATGGAAGGGGAGAGGGAGTGGGAAAGGGGAGGGTTGTGGGTGGGAGGGACGGTATTGGGGGGAAGCCATTGTAATCCATAAGTCGTACTTTGGAAATTTATATTCATTAAATAAAAGTTAAAAAAAATCAAAAAAAAAAAAAAGGGGAACATTAAGGTGGTACTAATGATCCTAAGGAGAATTCCAATGGCTTATCACTAATCTGCATTGCTGGCAGATATCTCAGGCCATAATCAATTGGATTCCACAGATAAATTTGTTTGCATTTTTTGGCTTTGATTTTGCATTTAACTGTAGTTACTTTATTACCATTGCTATGACACACAGGGTTATAATAAAGATGACTTGAAATCTTTCTGACAGTAACATAATAGGTACTGAGTTCTGAAAGTGTACTTTAAAAACACTTTTCCTAGTCAGAGTTTGGAATTTTTAAACAATTTAATTTATATAAGGGGATCAAATCTCATGTATTTCATATATACAGATTTAACAACATAATGATACTTCCCATCCTACCCTCTCTCCCTCCTTCCTCCTTTGATTTTTCTTTTGATTTTCACAATGACATACTTTCAATTTATAATCAGAAACTTATTTTCACAATGACTTACTTTCAATTTGTAATCAGAAACTTAATCCACCACTAAATAAAGAAATCAACAAGGACTAAATCAACAAGGACTAAAAACCACTGCTCCTCAGGAGCACAGACTCATAGCCCTGGTTTGCATTCCTACAGACGAGGATTACTTGCATTACTCTCAGCTTTCTGCAGCATTCAGCATGGTAAATAGCTCAAAAGGAGACTGCAAGAAACTCTTCAGAAGCTGGTGCCCCAGACAGGTGCCAGGCACAGGTCGCACAGTGTTTCGGCCCCTGGAGTCCCCTGAGCCTCTTCCTTGACACCTCCTCACACCCTTACCCAGCGGCTACTGCCTCTAGTAGCTTTCTGCTGCTCTTGGGATAGAACCTTATGCATATTAAAACAGCGTTTTCTCTGAGAAACTGTGATGAAAGTGTGGCACACTGTCTTACTTGAAGCATCTATTTTAGAATTAGCTGAGGAGCCCCATGCCACATCAGATCACTGGCTCGGGCACCAGTTCATGTAAAACAATAGTTCACATTGTTCTCATCTCTGAGTCACACCAGGATTTTAAAACACACAGAAACGGCTTTATTGCATCTTAGTATACATTCCCCTTACACAACTTGAGCAAGAATTCACGTTTTGACAGTCAATGGACAATCCCCTAATAAATAAAATTCTACATTTCCCCCATTTAATTCCTGACTCTGTGAAAGTGGGGCATGACAAAGCCTTGACTGTGTTGGGTACAGCCCTGTTGTCCTCTTTTGCTCATTGCAGTGTGAACTCTGCTCGGTGCTTCTTCCCATGAGTATCTCACAGACTTCTGCATCCAGCATTGGATTCAAATCTTGTTACTCTTTACATCAGGATGCCTGTTCCAACTGACGTGATGTAAAAGGTCTTCTGACCCTGCAGAAGGCTAAGGTCTGTCTACATTTTAACAGAAGGTGCAGTGGGGGAGCTTGAACACACTTCACTTATCCTTTTCTAGGGAGGCATTTCCAGAACTGCTCTCTTAACATGAAAGTGCCACATCGAAATCTGGCACTGCTGAAGTTCCTTCTTTTTTCTTTTTTTAGTCCTTAATGTGTTGTACTATGTGAATTGTGAATTAATGCTATAACTAGTACTCAAACAGTGCTTTACACTTTGTGTTTCTGTGTGGGTGCAAACTGTTGAAATCTTTACTAAATTGATCTGTACATAAAGATAATTGAAAATGAATCTTGATGTGAACAGGATGGGAGAGGGAGTAGGGGATGGGATGGTTGTGGGTGGGAGGGAGGTTACAGGGGAAAAAGCTGCTGTAATCCAAAAGCTGTACTTTGGAAATTTATATTTATTAAATAAAACTTAAATAAAATAAAACATATACTTACACTAAAAAAAGATGTCTCCAAACAGCAATATGGCAACCCAATTGTATATTTTTCTATATTTAACATATTTCAAAATTTTCCTGTCCATTCCTGCATCCTGTAGTTGACATGTTCAAGTTTGGGTGAGGCAGGGGAAGTGAAGAGAGAAAAGACACGTTTCTGGGCTGGAACAGAGCAGAGCTCTCAGAATCTGGATGCTTGTTACCAGCATGTGCTCTGCACTTTTCCACTTCCCCACCTCGCCAGGGCAGAACTCATGGGTGGACTACGCATGTTGAGAATATGTAAAATATTCTCATCTGCTGCAAGGCAGTGCAGACAAGGCTCATTTTATGAAATTGTTACTGAAAAAAGAGGGCTTTTGTCTTTAAAGCCAATTTCCCTCATGAACCATAAACTTAATTAAACACATAAATCTTTAATTCGTGTTAGCAATCTCATTAATAACATCAATTTCTCCATATAATGAGTCTCATATTAGTTATAGTTCTGTCTACAGTAGTATTCACCATTCTTCATTCTCTTTTCTAATATAATTTGTTTATTAATATTTATAATAGATCTATTTATAATAAGTCTTTCCAAAATTTGACAAAAACGAATTTTCTTTTTTATTCTGGGAAATACTTTGCCTCCCAAATGGTTAGTCTTAAGCACCATAGGGATGGAGCAAACGCATTTTGTTTGCTGGAAACGGAGGCAAGAGGAGAACACCTCCGAGCCACCTCCAGCTGAGTCCCTGCAGCCGTCTGCCCTTCACGTCTCTCCAGCTCTCACTCATCCCCATTTTCCAGTTCTAGTTTGCCTTCAGCAGCGTCTCTACCCTCACTTGTTTCTTTGCTTTTCCTTCATTCTACCTCCACATTTAACTGCAGAAAACGGGCAGACTTGTGTTTGTACCTGATCACAGATTTTCTCAGGATCTTTGCCACAGATACAAATCTTGTCCAGTGTATCTTGGCTATCTCATAATCAAGGGTTGTGTACTGCTATGGATTGGATTGTTCTCAAATTCATGGGGAGAACCCCAACCCCCTGCTGGGACTTTATGTGAAGATAGGGCCTCTGAAGAGGCTAAGATAGGTTAAAGGGGTTTATAAAAGTGGAATCCTAATCCAAAATCTAATCCTAATTCCAAAATTTGGACGAGACCCCAGAGAAGAAGACACGACAGGAAGGTGGCCATTTGCAAGCCAAGGAAAGAGATCTTAGAACAAACAATCCTGCCAGCATCTTGATCCTGCATTTTGATTCTCCCAAACTGTGAGAAGATAAATTTCTGTTTATCCACCCTATCTGTGGTATTTTGTTATGGCAGCTCTAGGAAGTTAGTACAAGTATCTGGGCCATGGACAATCTAACAAATGATGTGGGATCTCTCTGAGCTATCCGGTGACTTTTAATTTGTGTATTAACTTTAAGCAACATTATTTTTTAAAAGGTTTATTTATTTACTTGAAAGGCAGAGTTACAGAGAGAAGGGAGACAGAGAGAGAGAGAGTTCTTCCATCTGCTGGTTCACTCCCCAAATGGCCACAATGGCTGTAGCTGAGATGATCTGAAGCCAGGAGCCAGGAGCTTCTTCCAGGTGTGCCATGTGGGTACAGGGGCCCAAGTACTTGGGATGTCTTCCATTGCTTTCCCAGGCCATTATAAGGAAGGACCTGGATCGGAAGTGGAGCAGCCAGGACAGGAACTGGTGCCCATATGGGATGCTGATGCCACTGGTGGAGGCTTCATCTACTATGCCACAGCAGTATGTTATAAACTAGTCTTTTTGATGTCTACAATGACTAAACAATGTGACAGTATTTCACACACTTTATTAGAAGACTTTGTTGGTTCTGATTTTAAGCTCCTGCTAACACTTCTCTTGATGGGAAGGTTCAACAAGAGGAAATACGAGGCCGACGCTGTGGCACAGTGGGTAAACCCACTGCCTGCAGGGCCAGCATCCCATATGGGTGCCTGTTCCAGTCCTGGCTGCTCCACTTCCGAACCAGCTCTCTGCTATGGCCTGGGAAAGCAGTAGAAGATGGTTCAAGTCCTTGGGCCCCTGCACCCACATGGGAGACCTGGAAGA